CTCTCATCACTGGAAAGCGTAGGTACGTATTCTTTTGTTGGTTGAGGCACTATGCTACAAGCAGGAAGGTCGTGTGTTCAAGTCCCGATGAGATCATTGAATTTGTTATCAATTGACCTAATCCTTCCGGCCGCACTATGGCCCTGGGTTCGACGATTCAGCCTCTAACAGAAATGAGTACCAAGAATATTCTTGAGGGTAAAGGGCGGCCGACGCGTAGGGCTGACAACCTCACCGTCATCTGTGAGCCGATTGCCTAGAAAATGTAGGAACCTCAACATCTCACAACACATATGGGCCTCCACGGCCTGTTACATGGATACCTTTACTTTTTACTTTTTTTACTTTTACTAATCGTGAAAGAAATACCGTGTACAGCTACTGCCAGAATCGTCCATCGCCCCACAGAAAACAGCTGAAACACAAGCCACTGTGTAATTGCCTGACCTTCCTCCGCTCAACATGTATATATTCCACTGGTGTTGTCTTGTTACAGAATTCTTTAGCACACAATCAAGTACATAATTTAATACCTTGTACTTTACCGTCTGGTCTACCTGGAGACCTTATAGGAGTGGATAAATTACAGAGGAAGTATTCAACAGGTGACGTCAACGAATGTCTCTAGCCTTATGTTTTATCGGGACAAGAAAATGTACCTCGATTACGCAGAGGCTGAGAGGAAGAGGAGAGGAAGATGTTATCTTTAATTATGTAGGTTCACTAGACCAGACATGCACCACACACTCAAGTCAGAAGACGATTGGGTCTTAACAATATTTGGGAATGTAGATCTCCAAACTTTCCCACGAATTTCTAAGAAATAGTTTAACATATTACATTTTTCTTGGTCCTTAAGGATTAGGCAATCATGCGTAGATTTGTTTTATTAATGAGTGCTATATTATCTTCCATCTGTTAAATTAAGACTTGATAATGTAGGAAAGAAATGAAATATGTTCATCAAATACGCAATGAACCTTTTTTAATAGGACTAGTTTTATTCTGCAGAAAGGGTAAAATAATTCTTCACTTAGGTCAAATAACTCTGAGGATCACGTAAGTTAGAAGAAGTAAAAAGAGAATGAGACAATTCCACGCCGATTGGCCTGATAATTTGTAGTCGAAATGTTGTTTCCTGCATTCGCCTACACGTAGACTTACATGTAGCAAATTGACAGAAGAGTGAAACAGACAGTGACTTAAGAACTACATCGTTCACTGGATACGATTCATACGTTCAATTGCCACGAGAAAACTCGCTCTGTATATCATTCTGCAAGTAGCACACAGAGTGATTCTAAATTATTGTCGGTTCTTTTGTGGCTTACAAACTGAAACCCCGACAATAATTTCGAATCACTCTATATTATTGAAAAGTTGTAATTTTGTTGTATGAAGATTTTTACCTGATGTTTACATTGTTCTCCTCTACATTCCAAATATCACGACGTTTTCCACACAAAGCCGATTCTGCTCACATTTCGGATTCCGTATTGCCTCGAAAGCTTGCACAAAATGTAGAGTAGACGGTAAATAGGATTTAATGTTTGTGACGCGGGTACATTAATGTAAATATTGCGCAGAGATATGTTGGGTCCCTTAGAAAGAGCTAGCCTCAATCACTGGACGGATTGAGGCTAGCTCTTTCTAAGGGACCCAACAGAATAGGTGTTTCCCTCATCTGAGGACGGAAACAGACCCAGTTTCAGAAATGTCGTGTTTTCTTAGTTATCTTAAAAACCAGGACGATGGATAAAGTCCGAAAACCCAATATTATTATTATTATTTATTTATTATACTGCAATTGGGTTTTAGCCCGGTGGCAGTAGTACACAATAGGACACAACAGACAAGTAACACATATTACATTAAGTGACAACACGTTCAAACAGAACACAATACACAAAACACAACAATAAGGACATCCTACCACAATGAATACAAACCAAATACGATTAAAATTCTGTGTGTTATACACCATCGTCAGAATCCTATAGTAACTATAAATATTGTGATATATTGGGTTTCTGGACTTTATCCATCGTCCTAGTTTTTAAGATAACAAAAACACGACGTTTCGGAAACTGGATCTGTTTCCGTCCTCAGGTGAAGGAAAAGGGGGAACACCTATTCTGTTGGGTCCGTTAGAAAGAGCTAGCCTCAATCACTGGACCAGTGATTTGGGAGTCGTTCTTCTTATGTTTTAATTGTGTATATACTGTGTCTTATGGTGTGTCTTTCTTATGTGGCTGCGTGCGTTGTATTTCTGGACAGTTAGCGGGTGAATGGCATTACACACAAGTTTGATATACGACATGTAAAATGATAGCTCTTAACAAGTTTTAATATATAAATTTTATTATTGAACAACGACGAACACACATTTTATATCATTTTATAAATGGACACTTGATGGCAGGCAGTGCAATGGTTTAACGTGATTGATATACCTGAGGATGGCAGAATGATGTCGAAACATTTAGTGTGAAGTGACAAGTGAAATTGTATGCACTAAAAGACGGTTAATATATACATATTATGGATATATTCGTATAAGTGACTCCAAAATCTTCGTGGTGAGTTTGATTTTTTTTTAAATCATTTATTAGCAATCTGAATTTGCATTCTATAAGCTAATTTGCTGTCATGTACAATAATTATTCTATTGTACTAAGTTGGCTTGAAGACCTGTAATCCATCGATTACTACTCAGTTTTCCTGGAGGTCGTTTGGCCAAGTTCGTCTTAGTCTTCTGTATTGTGTAGGTTGAAGGAGAGCTTCTATTGCGTTGTTGGGGTGAGATTCCAGTTTCTGGTAATGTTTTTGGATTCTGTCTGTGATTACGGTTCTTACATATGGGATCTTGAGGTCGGTGTGAAGAGTTTGGTTTGACACGTACCAAGGTGCGTCAACTATGGCTCTAAGTATTTTGGATTGACTTCGCTGGATGATTGTTATGTTGGATTTGCTGGCGCATCCCCAGAGCTCAATGCCGTATGTCCATAAGGGTTTAATTATTGTTTTGTACATCAGTAGTTTATTATCTATTGTGAGGTGAGATTTCCGACCTATTAGCCAATTTATTTCCTTGAACTTAATTTCGATTTGTTTTCTCTTCTTCGCTATATGGTGTTTCCAGTTTAATGTTGAGTCCAGGTGTAGTCCTAAGTATTTTATTACGTCCTGCTGTTGAATGTTAATATGATTTAGGTGTGCTGAGGGGCAGTTGCCTTTCCTGAGAGTAAAAGTCACATGCGCCGATTTGCTTTCATTCACTTTGATTTTCCATCGGTGTAGCCATTTCTCCATTAGATTCAGATGTTCTTGTAAATTACATGAAGCAATTACCGGGTCTTCTGACGTAGCGAAAATTGCTATGTCGTCTGCGAACGTACCTATTTTTGTTGATTCGGTGGTCGGTATATCTGAGGTGTATAGCACGTAGAGGAGTGGACCCAAGATACTGCCCTGAGGAACTCCTGGTTGTATGGTGAGTTTGATTTGATACGAATCATGGAGCGTTAGTTATGTAACGTAGTGTTGTTGATTGGAATGTTTGTAGGATTTTGGTGTTTGATGGTTTGCTACAGCTCCACAGTTCTATACCGTACGTCAATATGGGTGTGAGTATAGTTTTGTAAACGAGAAGTTTATTTTCCAATGAGAGCTGATTTTTTTTTACCAATTAACCAGCTCATGTTTCTCACTTTTGTTGATAGTGGCAATCTCTTGGCCAGGATATGGGTCTTCCATGTGAGCCTTTGATCAAGGTGAAGTCCAAGATATTTGATTGTAGTGTGTATAAGGATTGGTGCATTGTTTATTGTGATTTGTGGGTACGTGCTCCGTTTTGTGGTGAATGTTATTTGCACTCATTTTTCACATTCACTGTGATTTTCCAGAGTTGTGGCCAATCTTGGAGGGCATTGAGGTATTGCTGTATATTTTTGCTGCCCTGTTAGGTTTTTATGAGAGGACAGAATTGCAGTGTCATCTGCAAACATAGCCAATGTTATGTCGTGTGCTTGGGGTATGTCAGATGTGTAGATTAGATATAAAAAGGGGCCAAGAACACTATCCTGTGGANCAGCTTCGCTGGCTGAACGGGGCTGATAGCGAGCACCAGTAATGGCAGGGTATGGCGACTGGTAGAATATCAAAGGGTGACGTACAATAGACTATTAGCCGCGGTGCATGGGGAAACCCACCCCCTCCAATAATAATAATAATAATAATAATAATAATAATAATATTAATAATAATAATAAAATTTTATCAACAGGTAGATTTGACAAGGCAAGGCATTTTTTAATTTGTATAGTAATCCCTGGTGCCATACTTTATCAAAGGTTTGTTGGATATCTAAGAATACAGATGCACACATCTTCTTGTCCTCCAGGGTTTCTTATACGTATTTTGTTAACCAATCGATGACACGGGTAAGCTGTTGAGTGGTGGTGCCTGAACCCGAACTGTATTGGGGAATGTTGTCTTCTGTTGCTCTCATTTGTTTTGTTCTGTTTAATAGTAATCTTTCGAAAGTTTTGGACATCATAGGTGAAAGACTGATTGGCCGGTAGACAGAAGCTTCGGTTGGTGGTTTACTGGGCTTAGCAATCATAATTACTTGTGCGAACTTCCACTGTATGGGGTAGTAACAGAATCTTAACATACTATTGTATATCGTTGTAAGGAGTATTATTGCTTTTGTGGGAAGGTGTTTAAGCATGACACCTACTAGTAGGTCGAATCCCGGAGCTTTGTGGGAATGCGTTTTAAGGAGTTCATGATGGACTCCAGCTGGAGAAAAGGGCCGTATGGGTAGGGAGAGTTGACAAGGAACGTCCAGGAATTTTAGGATTTTTGCTCGATCGATGTTGTTATCTTTTGCAGGTGAGAAGATTTTTGTTAGGTGATATGCAAAGATATTTGCTTTATTTGGAATTAAAACAGAATCAAGGCTTGTGAGACTTATGTGTGGTGACGGCTGTCGACAGGGTTAGCGGTGGGGAGCTGGAACACAGCTTGCTGGTCGCCACTGGTACGGTTTGCAAGACGTTCCCCGGACTCAGCAAGGAACAGCTGGATTTGTGCCGCCGCTATCCCGACGTCACAACTTCCGCTATCCAGGGACTGCAACTCGCAGTGGACGAGTGCCAGTACCAGTTCCAGTGGCACCGCTGGAACTGTTCTTCGCTCAACACAAAGAGCCGCAACCCTCATAGCAGCGTTCTGCTTCAGAGGGGTGAGTAATACACTGTATAATCATCGTCTGTACCGTCTTCTCTCTTGGCAACGTTCTCTGAGTCATTCAAATAAATTCCATAGAAACTAGGAATTATCATGCAGTAAAAGATAGAAAAAACTATCACCTATCAGGCCGGGGAAGTCAATATGATTGTAAGTCGTCGAGGCTCCCACATTTTGTAGACAAGCGCACACAGATAATTCTTGTCAAGTGATAGAGTGATTATAGACGATGTTTTAGATAGGATATTGGAATTATTGACCACTTACAAGTCGTAACTACAGATAATTATGACACTATCGCTCTCACCATACTTTATAAAATCAGGCTAAGTCGTTTCCAGCCCGCAGTATCATCACTAGTAGTTGCCTGGTAACGGTATCTAACAATGGCTAGTCCTGTGTTTCCGGGCTCAAGTGCTCTCTGGACGACTGCTTCCTTCCAACTGCCTCTGTTGCAACTAACTAATTCTCAGGCTGGCGGCCATCTCACACCACCTCCTAGTCACCTCTTCACAGACTAACTGACGAACAGACAACTAACTGTCACTGACTCTTTTCTTCAGACTCTCGTACGGAACTGACTTGGTCGCCAAAGTTGTCTCCCTCATAACCCTTCGGCAAGGACCGCGCAGACAACACCGTTCATTCTCGTATGCTAACCGTTTCCGAGGGAACATGTTTACTAAGCCGTTTCCTTGCAGCGGCTGTCTATTTTTGTTTATTAAGAATCTACTAGGAACGGATGTCTTTCCGTTGTCGGTTTATCGGTAGTTGCCTAGAAACGAATGTTGTTTCAGAGCCGTTCGTTGGCAACGGCTGTTTCTCTGGCTCCACAGCTCTTGATATGAGCAAATATGTCACATTATCATGCAGTGAGAAAATATTTCTTTCTCTTTTGTAAAAGAAGGTAAAGCTATCCCTGTATTTAAGTATATTTATGTAATTAAGCACCATGCCATGAAGGCATATGGGGAGTGAACTGTAGTTCCACCATACTTGATTTCGGCACTAGGTGCGGATGAATAGTCAGCTTCACGCTCCTGCCACTTTACCTCCATGGAAAGGGCATTCGTACCTATTGAATAGGAGGCTAGGTTATCGACCCATAGCGTAGTCGATACACCGACTGAACTATCTCTTCTTCTACACTAAGTTTAATTAAACTAAAAGCTAGCATAACGAATAGTGCAAATTTGTAGTCAATTTGATGTGCCTATGAGGATTCCTATCTTCCGGGACATAACGCCCTTTAGTTCGGTGGCAGCCAACCGATAATTCAGAAAAATATATCGCCTCTGCCTACTCCGTCCTGGTTTACTTCTTGGCTTCCCCTTCAACTCTGGAGATGGAGACGATATTTTCGTCCAAAATATCCGTTGACTTGCACAGGACTTACATGGCTTTAAAAATCAGTACATTACGAAATGTTATACAAGTCCTCGAACTTGGATGGAGTGGATTCTTCTGGCTCAAGTTATGGACCAATTGCGGATTCTTGTGAGGAAACAGATGTTTTGAAAATGGCACAGTTCAGATATTTGGGAACAACGATAACAGATCGAAACCTGATTCAGGAGGAAATTAAGAGGCGATTGAACTCGGGTAATGCTTGCTACCATTCAGTCCAGAACCTTTTGTCTTCTCGTCTGTTGCCCAAAAACATAAAAATGAGAATATACAAAATTATTAATTTTGCCTGTGGTTCTGTACGGGTGTGAAACTTGGTCTCTGACATTAAGGGAGGAACAAAGACTGAGGGTGTTTGAGAACAGGGTGTTGAGGAGAATATTTGGACCAAAGAGAGATGAAATCACAGGAGGTTGGAGAAAACTGCATAATGAGGAGCTTCATAACTTGTACTCTTCTCCAAGTATAATTAGAGTGATCAAGTCGAGGAGGATGAGGTGGGCAGGTCATGTAGCACGAATGGGGGAGACGAGGAATGCGTATAGGATATTGGTGGGAAAGCCAGAAAGAAAGAGACCACAGGGAAGACCATGGCGTAGGTGGGTGGACAATATTAGAATGGATCTTAGAGAGATAGGATGTGATGGTATGGATTGGATAGATCTGGCTCAGGATAGGGACCAGTAGAGGGCTCTTGTGAACACGGTGATGAACCTTCGGGTTCCATAAAATGCTGGGAAATTCTACAGTAGCTGCAGAATTGGCGGCTCCTCAAGAAGGGCTCAGCTCCATGAGTAAGTAAGTAATGGTCACGAAATATCGGTTCATAAAGGGCGAGAAATACATTGACTAGATAAGAGACTATCAGCTTCTCAAGAAGGGCTCTTTTCCATGAAGTGAGTTACTTTTATCAGTTTTTACACATTGGTATGCATAATTTTTAATAAACTTTCAATTTAAAAACAAAGAAGTGAACGAACATTTGCTGTACAGATATCAACAGTAATGAAAGAATACACACCCTTAACTCTGAGTAACCTATTACAGTTAAATGAATAAATAACTTGAATTCTATAGCTCCCTTATGCTATAATCAGCAATAGGTTTGTGTATGGTAAGTACATATATACTGTCATTTATTTTGATCCTACAAAATAAGGGAAGTTGTTCCTGCGTCGTTAAATAACCTAACAAACAAGTGGAGAGACCAAGCTGTCTTCAATTAACCCTGAACCAGCTCATAAAAGCACCGCCACGGGCAACGAGGTGTCCTCCTGTTTAAACAACACGATCCGTGACCCAAGAACACAAAACCGCGGAGTAGTCGTGCGCGACGACAGTCCCTTGTTTAGCTGGTGTCCGTGGCGTGACGCGGCAGTCCTCCTAATCGTCTCCTGCTGGACCTCATTAGACACCTTTCAGAATTAAACGAAAAACACAACTTATCCTTCTGTTTAGCATAACGTGAATCATACTAAATCTCCTCCAGAAAGAAAAGAGAAAGATGAAGAGGAGGAACATAGTCAGTACATTTTTTACACAATTTAAATGGCTTTTGATGTCTCAGGCTTTCCTATGAAACTTTAGCATTTGCATTACCGATGAGTCTCTCTGTGATTACTTTCTTTATCCTCAGTCTCTCTACACTTCTAAACTACACAGGCTACTACAACGTCGTGTTCTGAAACTGCTTTCGGCGATAAATGTCCCTTTTGCTCGAATAGACGCCTATAAACCTAGCCAGGTATGAAATTCATTTCTTCCTGTTTGAAGCAGAGCACACTTACAGTCACTCAGCAGTTCTATCGGTCCGACCGCCCGTCCGCCCGCCAGCCCGTCTACCTATCTATCTATCTATCTATATTTCTGTTACTCCCACTTGGTGCATAAGGCATCCATGAAAAGCTTCGTTTCACTTCAGTTTCTTAATTTTAGACAGTCGTTAGAACCCCTTGGACGGGGTTTTTCTATTATAGTCACGGCACGGACCACGCAGCACAGAAAACACAGCTCACCTATTGCTTAGAGGGGTGTTACCATGCAGTTGCCTAGCAAAGGGTCTCGGCGCGGACCACATACAAAACACTTTCCATCCTTGTCGCGTATTTAGTGGTCCGTTATTCAGCAACAGATGCCCTTCTATTGTTAAGAGCGTAGCTTCGGGACTGTGTTTACGGAACCGTTGCCTAGCAGTCGTATAAGTCACAATATATTTAGAATGCATGTATAACTTTCAGCCTCATAAAACGCTGCTTGACCACAGCAGTTGGAACAACATATTTCAGTAATGTCGGAATCTATCGATTGCCAAAATTCGTATGGCATAAAACGCGTACTGAAATTCAGCAATATAATGAATATAGGAATCATTATCCCAACTCTAAAAGATGCAGGGCTGCACTAGGATTCGTTAGAATCCGCCTCACCCGAGCTGTATATTACATCAATTACTGTCAAGTGAGAATGGTAAGAAACAGGGAATACCATGAAACTTGTAAGTAATGAAGCCACACGGCTACCACGAGGGACCAGTTCTGCAATACATGTTGTGAGGCCAGGGGTTTGTCAGCTGTCACCACCAGGTGTGGGGTCTGCCGATTTTCTACGCTCGAAACAGGGTCAATGCGACACTTTGTGTAGGCACACTCATTAGGGCACCACATGTGAAGGCAGTTCTGGCGTGGCCTACAAGAACATGAAATGAGGTGTCTTGTGTAGGAATACAGTGTTCTGCTTTCAGCAACACAGACCAAATACACTACATCCAATTTCTTTTCTTAAAATTCTTATTAGAAGAGGCAGATTCTTGTTTAGAGAGGAAAATGTCCCTAAGAAATGAGTGTTTTAAGAAAAAAAAATATATAGAACAGAAATTATTGATTTGTATGTGTAATAATTATTAATTTATTATTAATTATTAATGGCGACTGCGTGAATAAAATCTTCTAAATTAGATTCTACAACAATAGCTTCGGTGGAACTGTTATATTTACTTCTGATTTGGTTTTACGAGTCTCTGCTCCAGTCTGACTGATGTACAACTTCCAGAAATTTCTTAAAAACCGGAAAATATGAGATTATATGCTTACTTTTTCAAAATAATTTTAACATGGATGGTTTTATGTGTAAGTAATACGGAAAAGCAACAGTTTACTTCAACTATATGTGCAACTTAAAGTCCGTTTACTACATTTTGTAAAAAAAAAATAAAATAAAATATACAAGGCAAAAACCGTACGCTTAATTATAAACCCATGAAGACATTTGGAAAATGAAGGTACAGCTCGACTCATTTCACGAGAAATGCTTGAAAAGGAATGCTTCCTGAAATATTTACTTTGTAATTTTTAATATTTAATGTCATTATTGGATTGTGAACATGCGAAGCAGAGCCCATATGTTTATAAATTTAGGGTGACCCAAATTCAATTAACTAGTTAATAGAATGTACATTAAAATTCGTTAGGAATTTCTTTATTACTTTCTGAATTTGCAAAGGTTTCCCGAAATGAGATCTTCCGTGTTCAATTCGGAGCTCGCAAAGCTGTGATACCGTTCTACAAATTGATTGGCAGTTTAAATCTAAAC